AAGTATGACACGTTGCACTTAGTCCCCAGGTGCCGCTGTATTGTTTACTATTTTCATGATCAGAAAGGCTGTACGATCACTGCATCCAGCACAACAAGTGAAGGGGTGTGCATGGCTGCGAAAATGGCATGCGAACGCATTTTAGATCGAATGAAACCAGTTCGCGAGAAGAAACCGAATGCTTCGTGGCTGAGATCGTTCACGACGCTTGGACACAGTCCGTTGAATTAACCGAGAAGCAAACGTTTGAAACCGGAAACGCAATAGGTTACAAAATTATCGGTTGTGCGTGTGCTGAGATTGAAGTGGATGTTTTGGCGGAGAATTACAGATTGCACGAGTTGATATTCATGAAGACACCGGCAAAAGTATGAGTCCATTGGTTGATCGGTGCATTCATGATGGGCGTCGGATATTGGTTAACCGAAAAATTGCACTATGATCGTCGCACGGAAGAATTGGTGCCAAAGACATTCCGATTGATTTCCGTATAAAATTCTTGTAAAATGTCAACAATGATGGGATTTTGAAATCAAAAGCCACCGGAGAGCCAGCATTTCACCTATCGGTGGTTATCATGTTTGCTTTAAGACACGCCATCAATGCAATGCGAGAGGACAGTGGCAATTGTAAAAAGTGGTATCACCTGGGTAGTTATTTTGTTTTGTTGTTGAATTTATTTGGAAATTTTTTGAGTTTTTTCAAAATTCATTATCATTTTATTCAGGATCGTGAAGCACATGATGTTGTATTCACCACTGCCGAGGTGAACGTTGATGACTTCAAACTAAGCTGATCTGTAACACTTGCCGCGTATTTCTTACCAGAAATACATAAGTGATTCACATGCAAACGGGCGGTTTCAGCGAATCCCATTTCCATTCTCAATGACACATATGTCTCTTATTTTTTTATTTTTATCATCTTTGATTTAACGAAATAACAATAAAATATTGAAAATTTTATTCAAACAAAATTTTTTATGCTTAATTTAATTATTTCAACAGTAGACATCATTTAAAGAAATTCTTCGAACGTCACTTAGATAGACATTTTCATTTTGACTGAAAAGAACTGTTTTTATTTGATTTGGGTTTTTGTTTTTTTCGCTCCATTATTTTCGTCGGTTTGTTATCTTCACATTGATTCCACCTTCAATGTTCAATGTAAGTGCGTGATTGGCCACGACAAGTTCACGATCATTTTCACATTCAAAATTGTAGCTTCTCAATATTGAAACAATCGCTGTTTTGGTCGTAATTTTTCCCATACGTAAACCTGTACAATCAACAGAAATAGGTCAATTAAAAAGAAAACGTTGATTAATTATAATTTTGGATGCAATCTCGGATTCATGTATCAAATTACGCACCAATACACGCTCGAGGGCCTTCGCCAAATGGAATGAATGCATCTGGATTGTACGAGGGGTTCTCTGTTGAAAAACGATCGGGCCAATAGTTCTCCGGATCGGGGAAGTATTCGGGATCTCTCATCAGACCAAGCAACGAAATGGCGATTGGTGTTCCTTCGGGTACTGTTAGGCCCAAGTTATCAATTCGATACTCCTTGGTACAGATTCGGTTCAAGAATGGCAGCGTCGGATACTTTCGAACGGATTCTGGAATGAAAGACCTTTTTTTTTTTCAATTTACCAGGAATTTTCTCAGCTTTTTTTCAATTTCATGCAACGATTTTCAATTTACCTTTAACACACATCTCCAAAAGTGGCATATCGTTGATGCTTTCGTACGTGATGGCGTTGTCGTGTTCAGCCAACACGCTATCGATTTCATCTTGCAGTCTCTTTTGAAGCTCCGGCTTTCGTGACAACTCAAACAGCGTATAAGCTACAGCTGAAGCGGTGGTATCGAATCCCGCCAAATAAAATAAGCCCACTTGAGCCGCACATTGTTCAATTGTGAGCGA